GCTGATGATGATGCTGATGCTGCTGATGATGATGCTGATGATGGTGATGATGATGACGATGACGATACTGATGATAGTAATGCTTATGATGACGATGATGCTGATGCTGTTGGTGATGATGATGCTGATGTTGACGATGATGATGATGATGTGGAGCATGTCGAGTAGGAGGAGGACACGGAGGAGGTGCATGAGGAAAAGGAGGAGGAGGCGCAGGAAAAGGAGTAGGAGGAAGAAGAGGAGTTGGATGAGGAGGAGGCGGAGGAAGAAGAGGAGCAGGAAGAGGATCAGGAAAAGGAGGAGGAAGAGGAGGAGGAGAGCGATGAAGAAGGCCGTCACATGTGGCACCTTTTGTTTGTAGTACCTGAGGAGCTCTCATGCAACTCGTTCGGGCCGTCTTGGGCCTGACTTGGCCTCTTGTGAGGCAGTCTTGGGGGTCCCCAATGGCCGTCTTGGGCGGTCTTGGGACCCTCTTACGCCGTCTTGGGCCTCTTCTTGGGCAGTCCTGAGTCTCTCTTGGCCATATGTGGGCGTCTGGGAGCCATCCTGAGGCCGTCTTGTTCAGTCGGAAGGCCTTCTGATGCCGTGTTGGGTCCCACGGGATGCCCTCTTTGGTCCGTTTCGGAGCCATTTGAGGCACCTCTTGCGCCATCGTAGGGCTTCTTGGGTCATTTTTGGGTCCCCGATCCGTCCCCCCTTCCTTGCCATCGCACGACGCGCCTAACCGGTATCCGGGAGGTCCGACGTCACGAAGAAAGTTCAAAATCGCATCTCAGGAGCCCTGGATCCCATCTTTCTGCGGCAGCTCTCGAGCTGGATTGATCCGCGAGAGCCCCGGGGCCCGGTGACAAAGGCAAAGCCCCTTGTTGCGGAAAAACGGCGGCGCCAGGGTCCGAGGGAGCGCCCTGCTTTGCCAAAGCCCCCCTTTGCTGGGCCCCGAGGGGGGGCTGGCGGGCGGAAGGCGGCTCCCCGTGGCTGCGGCCATCTGCGGCGTGTGCGGCGTCGCGGTGTCGCGCTGCGCGCGCCGAGCGCCCTCTCGTCCTGGCTCGGGCTTCGTCTGTCGCACCCCCAACGCCTTGACTGAAGGAAGCGAGGAGGATGGAGAAGGAGGAACAGGAGGAGGAGGAGGAGGAGGAGGAGGAGGAGGAGGGCAGGAGGAGGAGGAGGAGAGGAGGAGGGCAGGAGCAGGAGGAGGAGGACGAGGAGGAGGAGGAGCCTTGACTGAAGGACAGCACTGCCCCCCCCCCCCCCAGCCAGGACCCCCACCTCCTGACCTGGCGATCAAGGGGGTCCTGGCTGGCGGTGGGGCTGCTTTGTTTGGGCCCTTCGGGGCCAACAAACCACCCTCACCTCCAGCCAGGATCCCTCGGGCCGGCAGGTCGGAAGTGAGGGCTCGGGGTGGGGGTGGGCTGTGCTGTGTCCTCAAGGAGGGGAAGAAGGAATGGAAAGGAGGGAGAAGGAGAAGGAGGAGGAGGAGGAGGACCAGTGCCTGCCCAAGACGCTAAGCCCTCCCTCCAAGCTCCCCCGTCGCAGGTCCCTACGAGAATGTATCTCTATTGCGAAAGGCGCTGCATCGGAAGGCAACCGTCTGAGAACCGTCAATCGTGCCAAAACGCAGTTCCTGTGATTCAGCGCCGCAAATCAACGTTACGGCTGCGTCAAGACTATCCGAACACCTGGCCGTAGCACCATTTCTAGGATTTTAGTACCGCGAATCAACGTGACTGTTGCGTCCTGGGATTCAACCATACGAAGTTCCGAAACTGCTGCAACGGTTCAAGTCGAAGGTGGACGGCGCTGAGACGGAATCCACATGTTGAAATGAAGCCGCCCTCCATCCTTGACACTGTTGCAAACGTTTACCGCGAACGTGCGCGGCGCTAATGCGAGAACCACATGTTGGAAATGAGACGCCCTCCATCTTTGAAGCGGTTGCAAACTGTTAATGCAAATGTCTGCGACGCTAGAGCGAGAGCCACAGTTTGTAAACGGCCCGTCCTTCATCCGTGCACTTGTTTCGAAGATCAAGCTTGACGATCTCAACCTGGGAGTCTCAGGCGAACAACACGTCTGGGGGTGCGACGGGGAGGAGCCGATTTCATGGCAGAGGGACGGAGCAGGAGGAGGAGCAGCCTCCCCTCCATATACAGGCCAACCCTGATGTCCGAGCAACGGCAAACAAACGTCTCCCCTCCTCAATCCTCCTGGTCCTGCTCCTCCCTCACCTTCCCCTTTGTCATCACCGCCGCCCTCCCCCTTCCCCCCCCCCCTTCCCTCCTCGCCCTCCTGCTGGATGAGCCATATTGTTGGGCAGCGCTGGAGGGCAGGCCCCGCAGCCGATTTCGCACTCGAACTCCCCCACCACTCCACGCTCTCAATCAGCTCAGCATCTGCCCTGGCCCCGGTTATGTGAGGACTCCCGCTCAGTGACGGGGCGTTGCTTGTTGCGCTTCTCTTGCGTTCGTACTGTTTTTTAGTGTTCGTGCACATGGTCGCTCAATAGTTTGCATCACACCTATAGCTAGCTACAGCCTGCCTGCAAGTGTGGGTTCATGTGGTGTTGCTCAAGCTTGCGTTTCTTTGACGGTCGACTTAGTTTGCCGTTGGCATGTGGGTCAAAGTGTGTGTGTGTGTGTGTTTATGTGTGTGCGTGCCTTTCGTTAGCTTGTGGTGTGCTGTCGCTGGCATTGTAGTACGCATAGTGTGCATCGCAGCTTGTCTATACTCAGAGTGCTCTCGCATTGCTTTACCTTGCCCTCGAGTAGTGTTTGATGTTCTAGACGCTTCGCGTATCCCCACCAGCATTTTCGACGCCGCATGCGTCTCAAAGAGGGACATGTTGTCCCTGGCACGTGCATACGCCACTGCGGCCAATTTACATCGTGCCGCGCCCCGGACGTTGTGCCCGCTCCAAGTCCCTCGCCTTGGAGCCGCGAACCAAAAACAAACCTTTTTGCGAACCACAAAAGTATCCCCACCAGCCCGTACCGCGCCCCGGACGTTGTGCCCGCTCCCTGTCCCTCGCCTTGGAGCCGCGAACCAAAAAGTCTCCCCACCAGCCCATCCAACAACGATGCCCAGGCGAGTTGCCCTGATCAAGGATGTGGAGGAGCATTCCGTGGAATCAAGGACTAGGGAAGCCGTCCTACCCCAAGAGGGGGAGGATAGAGGCGGGAGGAGCGAGAAGGATACGGAATACGCGGAGGAGGAGGAGGAGGAGGAGGAGGAGGAGGAGGAGAAGGTGTAGGAGGGTGAGCAGAAGGGCCAGAGGCTTCTTGGATGTCTCTTTGGGCGGCCGGGGTGTCTCTTGGCGGTCCCAGGGGCCTCTTCGGGCGTCTTGGGTGCTTCTGGGGGGGCCTCTCGGGGGCCGCTTGGGACCCCCTTGGGGGCGTGTTGGGTGCCTCCTGGAGCAGCTTGGGCGCATCTTGGGGCCATCTTGGGTCCATTTCGGGGCCCTCTTGGGAGACTTTGAGGTCATTTGGAGGACATTGATCAAAGAGAGGGGATCCTTTATTCGCTCCTCGCGCCGCTGGAGCTCCCAATGTTGAATTTTGCGGACCCCTCGGAACGCTATTGAGGCGTTCTTGGGCGCTCTTGGGGCTGTCTTGGGGCTATCTTGGGTCTCTCTTGGGGCTCTCTTGGGCCCTCCTGGAGCCATCTTGAGGCCTCAGGAACCCATCGGAAGCAAAAGGGCGAGAGGGCTGCTACACGCAATGATTGCCCTTGGGCTTTGGACGGATTTGGGCCCCTTGGGGGCCTCCTTGGGGGTCTCCGCGGCCACTTGGAGCCACCTTGGGGTCATCATGGGGCCTCTTGGATGCATCTTGGAGGCCACCTTGAGCTAGCTGGGACCATCTTGCGCCATCTTGGCGGCCATCGTAAAGCATCTAGTGCCCTCTCGGAGCCATCTCGGGGAAAAGTCCTTCCCAAGACGCCCCCGCAAAACGCCCTCCGTGTTTTTGTTGATGAAAGAGGGGGTGTAGTCAGTTAGCGTCGCCCCGGTGGAGCCCCCAAGGTCGCCTCTTGCGACCCTCCTGAGGCGCTCTCGGAGCGCTCTTGGGCCCTCTTGGGGCCGTCCTGGGGCCATCTTGGGCCCCTCTGGGGGCCATCTTGGGCCCTCCCGGAGCAATCTTGATGCCTCGGAGGACAGCCATCGGGCGAAAATCATTGACATCCCTTATGTGTGTTGAAGATTTGGGCCCTTAAAAAGCGTTCAGGGGAGGCCCCTAGGCCACATGGACCCGACCCGTCTTGGAGGAGTCTTGGGACCTCTTGGAACGTCTTGGAAGCAATCTTGCGCTATCTTGAAACATCGCGGAGGCCATCTTGGACTCTCCGAAGCCCTCTTGACCCACGGCCCCCCCGTCCAGGTCCAGGGAGAGAGGGTCGTGGAAGGGGCAACTCCGTCCTCAAAGGGGAAGGCGGGGGTTGGAGGGGGTCACACGCTAAACTACTCATGCCCCACAGGGCTGGCGGGATTGCGTTCAGCCTGCTCGCAGCCTGCCCGTCGCTTGTCCTTAGCTTGCATGTGGCTTGTTTTTGGCGTGGTGTTCGGTTACGTACCGCTCGACTTTAGTTTTTCTCTGGCGTGCTGATGGCTTGTCGCCTGTAATCAATGATGTTCCTGCCTCTAGCTGCCTCGTCATTTGCATTGTGCCGCACGTAGCTCGCCTTCAGTTTACCCGTGGTTCCATGGTCGGCCCTGTTAGCTTGCCTTCTGCTTGCCTGTGGATTGCCTGGCCGCCTCTCCTCGCAATAGAGAAGCGACCAGTCGGTGTCGCGCCATTGTGTTCTGCCACGCTGCGTTCCTGCTGAGACGAAGCGCCACATTGTCCGTCCTGTGTTTCGCTTGGGCGAGGTGGAGGAGGGCAACGGACCGCGGTGGGACCTCCCCCTCTCTGACGCCTTCAAGCGAGTGGCCCCCAACCAGCCCATACGGCTGGCGGTTGCAACCAGTTCTAAGTTACTGGGGGCGAGCGGGAGGTTGTTGTTCGATCAGCCGCCAGGTTGGCCGATGGGCAGCGCTCGCTCTGCTTCGACTAGCACGAGCTTTTGCCGACGGCGGCGACATGCAGGCTGGGGAGTAGGGGCGGGAGGAAGTGAGGGATGATGATGAGGACGAGGGTGAGGATGATGATGCGGGTGATTCTGATTGGGATGGGAATAAGGACGCAGATGTTGATGCATATGTTGGAGAGGATCGTGGGAGTTGGAGACGGCAAGGTCGAGGATGAAGACGAAGGAACAGAGAGTGTCTCAGGCAAGAGGGAAGGATGGGGTGGCCAGGGATGGGGATAGGAGGGCCGCAGAGAGGGGCGATAGGGATAGAGAGATGTCGCCTGGCATGGTAAGTAAGACTCTGGAGGGCCACCAAAAGAAAAACGCCACGTGGAATACACTATGCTCTGGCATGCTGGCATGCCCGCTACATTGCGCAGAGCGCAGCCGGATGAACACTACAGTCCACAGTTCGCCGACAAAGAGGCCCCGACATGTTGTCGCCCCCAGTCTCGAGTCAGCGAGCGCACTTCTCCTGCGCACTTGGAGTATCCTGTCGCCCAGGTGCACGTTGTGCATCCTGTGCTGTCTGAGTGGAGGCTTCACGCGCGAGGCGGGCATTTACCCATACGCGCCTCCTGGGGGCTAGATCTTCGGGGCCCTCGATCGGCGATGGTTATGGATATATTCGGGCCTGGGTGGGGGGCCGGGCAACATGTCCATACCCACCGCGTGCCGATGCCCCCAAAGATCGATCCCCCAGGTCGGCGGTTGCGGACCCGTCCCCGCTTCGCAGGACGAACGGATCCTGCCCAGCTCCTGCGCTTGCGGGGCGCTCGGTGCCGCCCCCCCCCGAGAGGTCGGGCTTGCGGGAGAAGGGCGGGGGCGGGTCGGAGGTGGCATCGAGGCGCCCTTCCCGAACACCTGGGCGTCAACCTGTGATATCTGATGGGCACAATCCTGGGGAGGCTTGTCCAAGGGGGGGTTGTCCAGGACAGTTGTCCAGATGATTGTGGGGTTGTCCAAATGATTGTCCAGGCCGCGTGGTCTTGTCAGCACGTGCGCATTTCATTATCATGCGTACCATCAAAAGCATGGCACAACCGGGGAAGCCCAGTTGGAAATGTTGCTTCTCTCTCTCCCTTTCCCTTGCTTCGGCTCCCGTTCGCACGCCCTCCCTTGCCGCGTTTCCCCAAACAGCTGCGCTGACTTGTTCCTGTTGCGGTCGAAGTTAGTTCTGGCCACAGGGTCAGCGCTCAGAGGCATCCGCCAACATCGGGGGTGGCCTGGCCAGTTTGGCTTTGCACATTTTCGCAATATGCCGGTGTTCCCGCATCTCTGGACTCGGACATGCAGCGCACGAGGTGGTCCAGCCAGTTCATCCAGAGATATCAGGGCGCGGAGATGTAGCGCGCAAAGTGGTCCAGCCAGTTTCGCCAGAGATATTCTCGCAATTTTGGACTGAGAGATGCCGCGTGATATTTTCCGGCCTGTTTCGCCTGAGGCAGTCTCGCAATTTTGGCCTCAAATATGCCCTGACTTGAGGCGGTCCGGACCGTTCCTTCTGAGACGTCGTTTGATGTTGCGCGGGAGATGGTCTGGCCAGTTTTGCTTGGGACGCCCTCGCATGTCTGGGTTCGGAGATCCAGCGTGCGCGGCCAGTGTCGCCCGAGACGTCGTCGCACTTCTGGGCTCCATTTCTTGGCTCCGATATGACCTGACCTGAGGTGGTCTAGCCAGGTTCGTCTGCGACATGTGCGCACAAGGTGATCCAGCTAGTTTCACCCGAGACGTCCATGTTTCTGGGCTCGGAGATGCAGCGCGCGCGGCCAGCGTTGTCTGAGTCTTCCTCGCAATTCTACTCACCGAAATGCCCTCATCTCAGTGGTTCGGCCAGTTTCGCCTCAGACAGCCTCTCAACTTCGGCCTCCGGATTGCCGCTCGCGAGGTAGTCTGACCCGTGTCGCCAAGGACATTCTCGCAATTCTGGGCTCGGAGATGCCGCGCGAGAGGTGATCCAACCAGTTTCGTATGAGACATCCTCGCAATTCTGGGTTGCGATATGCCTCGCTCGAGAGGTGGGCCAGCCTGTTCCGCCCGCCTGCGATCATCGCAACTATAGTATCAGCGACGCCGCGCGCGATGTGGTCTGGCCAGCTTCGCTTGGGACGTTCCTCGCAACTCTGGGTTCCGAGATGCCTCGCGCGAGGTTCTCCGGCCAGTTTCGCCAGTGGGGCTGCCAGGGCTGCCGGGGGGCATGCCGTGGACAAGGACAGTGGACAAGGACAGGAGGCGTGGACCATCCAGCTGGACGGCACCGAGGTGATGGTCCAACGCTACGTACGCGGTGGTCCCCAGGGTACCGTGCAGCAGCCGACGGCGTGCCGACCATGGACATGGAAGCCGCCACAGCCGGACGCGTCAGCAGCGCGGCCGGAGGCGCAGGGAGGGGCAGCCAGCAGGAAGGACGAGGGAGGCAAAGGACAGACTGGAGGAGCTGTGGGAGGAAGCCAGGAAAAGCAGACAGCTAAGACGATGGAAGTTGATGAGGAGGAGGCGGAGTCCATAGCGATCGACAGCGAAGCAGCACGTGCCACCAACGCCGGCAAGGGATACCTGGATGCCGTGCGGGAGCGCGCCAGCAAAAGGCAGCAGGAGGATGCAGAGGACGACGCGCTAGAAGGTGACGCTAAGGTGCAAGCAAAGAAGAGGAGAGAGGAAGCCAGGAAGAAGCAGGATGAGGAGCTGAGGAGGAAGTTCGAGGCGCAGCTGCAGGAGGAGATGCAAGGTGCGCCCCGGACAAAGAAGGCTAAGGCACAAACAGTGCAAGCGAAATACAGGACGGAGGAGGACGACACCTTCAAGGCTTTCGACTGGGGCACCGATGGGGCCGATTGCGGGTATCGGGCCATGGCGGCGCAATACGCGCTGTCGAAAGGAAAGAGCATGCAGGAGGTGGCAGACAAGGCCCAGACGCTGGCCCGCACGATGAGGGTGAACGCCGCGACCCAAATCAGGATGCACTCCAAGCGCTTTGAGGCGTATTGGCCATCCATCCAGGGGCCGCTCGGAGCTAGCAGCATCGAGGGGGGCGCATGCCCCAAGAACTGGGCAGAATATTTGGAGGCGCTCAAGAGGCCGCAAAGATGGGTCGATGGCCCGGGGCTGGCTGCGGCCGCTGAAGTTCTGCAACGAGTCGTGGTGGTGCACCAGTGGCACGAGAAGAAGGAGGGGGACAAAGCGAAGGGCTGGCGGGTGCTCGTCGTAGTGGGGCCCTTCGAGGAGAAAGACCTGCAAGAGGCGAGAAAGGTACGGCCGATCCACATCGGTGTTGAGGCGAACCACTACGTGGCCCTCATGTACAAGGACGAGGCGGAGTTGCACAGGTGGGTGCACTCGAAGAGGAAGGCGACGAAGGATAACCACGTCAAGCAGATTGCCAAGATCCCGCGGGCTGCGGGCGGGGCGAGTACTGCAGGCGACGGAAGTACGTGCTCGTGGATCCCAAAGCCGAGGAGGGGATCGGAGGGGACGGCGAGCGCCCGCTCGGTTTGCTCCATTCTCCCACGGCCCCGGGCCCCCCTCTCAGCGAGGAGCGAAGGCGGCAGGAGGAGCGCCCCGCCAGAGGGTGTGCAGACAGGTGGCCGTGGTGATGTAGCTACCCACCAGGCGGCGGCGAGCACGCGGGCGGCCACCAGCTCCAGAGGAAGGGAAGGAGGAGGAGGAGGTAGAGGAGGCAGAGGAGGCAGAGGAGGCAGAGGAGGAGAAGGCGGCCAAGGCGCTGAAGAGGCCGCAGGAGACAGACTACCAGTGGAGGAGAAGCTGGAATGGAGGTGCAACCTGTGCCCGGACGTGGTGGTGAGGGCCATCCCCTGCAGGAGGGACGATCTCTTGGAGAAGCCCCACTTCGGCGTCAACTACTACCTCGCGAAGCGGCGCAGGAGGCACATCCAGCAGAGGCATCAAGGCGAAAAGGAGAAGGTGGCGCCGATTGCGGAGCGGGGGGGGATTCCTCCTCTGAGCCACTCGATCCCGAAGACAGTGCGACAGTGGACATGCGGTTTCTGTGGTATTGGCCAGGCGTCTGGTTACGAAGGCATGGCTGTGAAGCAGCGGCTGCGTCACTACAGAGAGGCGCATCCAGAGACGACGAATTCCGAAAGGAGGTCCGTAGGACATACCGCCAACGGCGGGAACTACGACAAGGGCCAGAAGAACCCAGGCAAGTCCAAGCGGTTGCTGACACGCTGGGCGGCACGCGTGGACAAGAAGAATATAGGAGCTCACTACATCCGGGTAGTGAAGCTGACATCGCCAGGGCTCAAGGGCGCACTAGGAGGTCGCGGGGCTGAGAGGCAGACGAGGACCTGCACGAAGTGCATGGGCTTGTGGACGGGGACGGCAAGCCTGAGGATCCTGAAAGAGAACAGCTGTGTCCCTTTCAGCTCCCCACTCTCGCGCTGGAGGTGGATGAAGAGGCTGCAGGCGTGGGCACAGGCGGAGCCAGAGGACAAGAAGATGCTGCGGGACACCTGGTCTGAAGGGCCGGGCAAGAACCCCACGGAGCACCAGTGGGGCGCCATCGAGGCTGCGGCGGAAGCCGCCAGGAAAGCGAACGAGGAGGAGGACGCGAGCAAGGCAACCAGATTCCGGGCGGCGGCCCGCAAGGAGCTGGCGGCGCTGCTCCCGAAGCGAGCTCGGGAAAGGTCCCTGTGTTGAGGCGCCGGCGGCGCCGATGCCCAACGCAGGAGGAGGCAGACAGAGCTGGCGAGGAGGAGGCAGGCAAAGCGAGGTAAAGGAGGAGGAGGAAGTGAGGACTGAGGACAGCAAAGCGGAGACAGAGGAGGAGGAGGAGGTGCAGAAGAGGCAGAAGAGGAGCAGGGAAAGCAAGGAGGACGCTGAGGAGGATGAGGAGGAGCAGAAGATGCCGGACAACATCCGAGCAGGAGGAAGAGGAGGAGGAAGCAAAGCAGGGTGCACACGTGGGCCCGCTGGCCCTCGACGTCTTGCAGGAGGCAGACAAAGCGGGCGAGGAAGAGGCAGGCAAAGCGAGGAAGTCACAGAGGGAGGGAGCGAGG